AACTGAATGGAAAGTAAAAAACTTTCGAGAAGCTGAGAATGAAAGACCGCTTCCTGATAACTGGTAAGAAAACTAACAGAATTGCTCTAACCCTGAGCTTTATACTTGCTATATAACACGGAGAAACGAAGGCAGTGTTAAATAAACGCTGTAAATTACGCAAACGTATAGATTATAAGTAGTTCGATTGTGGATATTGGCCAAATAATGCCACCCGCTAAAAGTGAACTGAAGTTATCCTGGCGGGGACTCTATAGATTGTAAAGTTGTGGAACTACGGAGAGTTAACCTGATCTGTATGCACGTGTCGGTGATATGCTCCTCATATAATTTTGTTTCAGCGAGTAACATTTCAAGGTCGTCGGTCATTACTGATTCGCATTCCATCACCTGTTTACGAGATAAAGAACTGGCTCAAACTTTAGCCTGTTTCAGGGTTCTCAGTGTCCTTTATAAGTGGGATAACATTTACAGAACATCCAGTGCGAATCCCATCCATAAAAATGGCTGAACTACTTCTGCATGTATAAAAGTCCTCGAACGTAACGAATTAGATCCATTTGTTCAGCAGACTTCGATACGGCACAGAATTTTGGGAAATTTGCCTTCTGTTTAGTGCAATGATATAAGGGTACTTGGTGTATTGTGTGGTACTGATGTGAGTGTGCTATTTTGTCGATCTTCATTCTCAGATATGCACAACTAGCCAGCAAATAACGTACGTGACTTAACAACATGGCGACATCTTTATAATAATAATGTTTATTCCCAACTTGTGGGCGGTATACCGTTTGGCATGATCATACGTTTACAGTCAGAATGAAGCATGACTGTGAGATTTGTGGGAGTGTGGAGAGAGAGAGATTGGGCCGGATGGAAAATTTGCCCGTAGTTGCAGTTAGAGACTTGAATCGGGCGAGGGGTTGTGGTCGAGATTCTGAAGAAAATAGTCGCGGTAGCGCCATCATTGCACTGACATCCTTAACATGACCAACTAAAAATGACATCCATTTTATTGACTCTAGTAGAGAAGTTTCAGGCGGCACTATGCTCGTTTCTCAAAGGCCTGTGTCGATCTGACTGTCCTGTAGAGCAAAAGCGCCTGGGCAACTTTGGGCAGCACCGAGGATGGTTTGTCAGCTGTTAACAAAACCAGGTAGTAAAATTTAATGATGCAGATTATGGGTTAACAAACAGACTATTAGTTGATATTGGGGTATTGTTGAGTTATCAACATACTGCTGGAAATGAGGAGGTAAATACCCGTCTGATGTGTTGTGAATGACGATACATTCCTACTTCTGGAATGTTTGAAAACAGTGAAACGTGGTAAATACGTTGTCAGTCTGTGACCGTGGTGTGCCTGCTAAAAGTGAGACATGGATTTGTTCTCTTCAACTTTGGTGACGTTCGTATATGACCAACGAGTAAACAAACCGGGACAGTTTGTTTCCTGTGCGGATTTTGACGAAGGGGATTGGTGCGGCGGTATGCTTAAAAGCAAATTAAGGTAGATGTCCGTGATAGTATTTTTCACCAATGTAGCGTGGCAAAGCGGCCACGAATCATCGTGACTCTGTTTTCGATAATTATGGGCTAAAATGTCTGGCGCATGAAAGCCTAATAGCAAAGGCGCTGCCGCAAGCACCAAAACGATACAAGCACATTGATGAAGTGCCCATGGCCTCTGCAATCTCTTTCAAAATGAAATACCGACGGGCGAAGGGTTGCACAAAAAGAAGAAATGCACTTGAGCACGTTTTTAAAAGCATCAGTCGAAGTACGTGCACACTGAGCAGCTGTATGTAACAGTATATTTACAGCCGTGTCAAAAGTGCTTGGGAATTTCGGACATCTCGCCCAATATCTCGTGGATTTCTTCCACTCGGGTGAAAGCATATGGTAGTTACAAACGGTTAATCCAATAACGTGCGTACCAAGTCTCATACGTAGCATCTGTATCTGATCTAGTAGTCTTGTAACCAACAACGACGATAAAAGCAACAGTCTTGAGGAGTCACGGAAAAGGTCTCATTTTCTACCACAGGAGCGCGAATTTATGAGCTATCGACTCATTTTGCTAACACAAAATATTCGTTAGATACGTTTTCCTAAATTTTTTATAACACAGTAGGTTGTATACAATGCTCCGGTCTGTGTACCAGATACATTGAGCTTCTTCAGCAATAAACACGGGAGTTTGTGTTTTGGATATATTTGCGTTGGCACAGCCACCCGTTTGCAGTATTTTGCCCGCCACGCTGACACCATTCCATCATAAAATATTCATCAACCCCGTTTGCGTGGCAACTTGTTTCCTTTTTTACAGACACTCGAAATTTCAACGACGTTGAAGTTAGGATACGAAGATAAAGTTAGGCCCCTCACCGAATTAATAGATTATTGGTATTTTCACGCAGTTTTTCCGGACAAATGCCGAGGAGGATTTTGCTGGATATAAATTTATTTGGTCACCAAAAATGGACTGGGTCCTTTGGTACCAATCGCCAAATTATGGTCTTTGAAGAAGAACAATAAACATGCATTGGCTGTACTGTGGTACAGCGGCAGTGATAGCGAGATGATAAACCAAAAACGACTGCAGAGCGATCGATCACCACATAAAACAACCCTTACTCACGCCTGATTTCCTTGTGACCGGAAGGGTTTGGTCCTCATTAACCTTCACGAAAGCGTCATTGACTACATTTCATGATTTTCACCCCCCCTGCCCAAATGTTGCTCTTCACATGCCAAAGGAATGGTCTGAGTTTGGGGAGACCAATTTATGACAAATCGTATGATGAAATGTCACTGCCAGCATGGTTCGTGGCGAGGTATGTGCTCTTCTGACGTTCTCCGAAGTGGCACTAGACACCCGAGGAAAGACCAGAAGGCCGCCAATAGCCATTGGGAACTGAGAAAGGCTTTGTTGTGTGCGGAAGGCTGCCTGTTTCAGCCTTATGGCATATAAATTAGGTGGGGAAATGTCTGGATAGGGTGAAGTTTCTCCAAGGAAGCATTAAAATAACCTCTGCTATCTCTCCGTCATAAGAGCTTGCTGCAAATTCTAAGTTTCCAGAACTATCGTTCATAATGTATCTCAACAGATATCCACCTATCCAAGTAAGGATAATGAGGACACAGCACTTAATGAAAATAACCCCACGACCTAATGAATCGGACAAAAATGTAGTAAAATTCGGAGACTGACAGGCAGTGCCCCCGGAGGCCATATCACACACGAGGGGTATCATTCAAGCATCAGTCAGTATTGGCCTGTCATAGCCCGGGTAACTTCATTTTTGTAAAGCGTATCTATACGATACTTCTTAAAGTCTACGTGCGAGCGCAAGCTATGCTCCAGGTGGAGAACACTATGAATTATAAGGACGCCCAGAGAGCTATCATAATGGTGGCGTGGGAGTGACTGGCGTGCCGCAACATGAAGGACTCAGGTATTCGGTTCTTCTCCCCTAATGCGGCAAACAGGGTGTGGCCCACCGCTTACCCATCGAAACATTCGAATGGCTGCCGAAAAGTAAACATTGAACACTGTCAAAATGTTATACTGAGCTGTGAACTTGACAACGTTTCAAAGGATCCTGAACTGTCTTTGTCCCGATTATCCTCCACCTTGAATGCTATCGTCCCAGCTGGATTGGGTCTACAATATCTTCTTGGCTGTGGGAATGATCACTGGTAGCTCAGGCCGCATCGAAGTCCGTCTGTCCAAGCACGCTTCCTGGCCAACTTCGTTGTAAACGGACTAGGCCTCACAGCTTCCTCAGTTTCTCCCTCATTTACTCTCAATCGCCGTGTCAGATGTTGTTTACGGAGTTCAGAAGGTTGCAAGACTGAAAGCATTATTCTACCCCCTTCCAATGTACTGAGCATTGTACGTGTTTTTAAAGCTTCCGAGTGCTTTCCTTTTTCTGTTCTGTTCCACTCCTCCATGGTTCTAATTTGCAGATGAAACCCCATCTACTGTTTGTTTTCATTTGTCCACATATCGGCCTATTTATTGCACAAACGTTTTCCTATCCGGTGCGCAGTTTGCAGTGTTCCGCATAATTTCTGGCTATCTCTTGGTCAACGAGTCCCCAAGATGACAAATCGGGCATGATTCCAAACAACGGTGTTTCTACAGCTCTGTGATCAATGACTCGCGTGGGACCAATATAGGGAATGGGGGAGATTTGTTCAGAGACATTACTCAAGGCTGGTTCAGGGGATCGGGGAATGGGATCGTCCAAAACCCCAACCTGTTCTTAAGCAAAATGTCACCCTTATGGAAACTTTCGAGATGTTCCGAAGGCTAACAAAAGCAAACGGCTTGTATAGGTTGATCCATCCAACCAGAAACCTCGGTGACGTTGCTTTGGTCTGGAAAATAGAATGGGGAGCCCAAACGCATGGGAGAACTTTTTTCTAAGCAGATCACAAACGAGCATAATAAGTTACCCTCTGAAGAGGTAGGAACATTAGCGGGCGATATTAACTTCAATTTAGATGGCCTGAGATGGATACGATGGCTAAAGGGAAACTTTATTTTACCAAAACACACAAAATTAGAAGTTCTACATATATGCCTCGTTAACTTTTATTTTGATTTTTCTGCCTCTGATCCCCAAGATAAGGCTACCGGTAAGCTTATGTGGTGATCGTCGTTGTGAAGCGTAGTTATGCGCCATTTTGACTCCGTCTAAAATTTTCTGTCTTCAAAAACTTCAACAAAAGATCAAATCCAAACTGAATTGAATGTCCGGTCGGGGATGAAAAAGTAGACGTGTAGCTTGCGGTGTAAAATACGGACGACTGCTAACGTTTGCCGTCTAGTGCTGTATTTGCCAAGTACTGTCCTTGAGAAATAGTGCGTAGAGTCCGTGACCAATCAACTATCAAACTCCCGTTTAGTCCGCTGCGTACTGTCTCATGGAGGTTTTGGTGGGTAGGTTCTTTGCGAATATATCATTTATTAAACAATTCGTGCTTTATAGGACAGTGCTGTTGAGGCTATTCCGCCACCACTGTACACGGAATCCGAGCCGGCTATCGAAGTGCACGAATCCCCCGAAAAGATTACCACAGAATCCCAGAAGTCTAAATCGTATTTTGGTGAGATGGAAGTATCCCAGCGAACAAGACCCTTGGCTGAGACCGGAGATGCGGGGAGTGAATTCGCTGATGAGGAGTTTGAGGACGAGACAATTATCGAGCGTCTAGTTGGTTTAACTGAGATGTTTCCAAAACCTCTCCGGGATGGCGTGTATTCCTTGAGCTGTCTTGCCGTTTCCGGGATACACTCAGCATTCAATCTATCGAAAAGTGTTTCATGGTTCTTCGCCACCACCGCGACCGTTTGCTTCCTTCCTTTATTCCTCGAGCTTGAACGTGTGCAAACGGAAGAGCAAGAGGCAGCCCACCAACGAACAATTATGCTTGGACCGCGCGCGGCGGCTGGGGGTTCAAGTTTAGCTGGTTTCTCTGCAGTCCCTCACATAGCGCCGTTGGAATCAAAATGATCATCCTCATGGTGTGAATGATAATTGCACCTCCATTTGTAAACTTCAGGTCATTATTTGAAGTTTGTTTAGTAGCCGGCTTGTTTTCATCAAACGGGACTTGGACTCAAATAAACCTGTTCCACGGAGCATAGCCTTATTGTTTGTCTCACTCTATCACAGTTCGTGACAGACTGATCAATCCTGGTTCCTAAAACCGCCTCTTATTATGGTACCACCATTAACGTGACAGCTGCTAGATCTTAAGTGAGGTTGCCTAAAATAGCCTGGTAAAACTCCACCTAGTTTAAGATACTCTCCCTCTGATGACTCACCCCGGAGGATGCAGCGTTTCCAGAGAGTTGGCCAACGTGGACAGTGCCGTATCGTCAAACTCAGCCAACTAACCCTGGGTGTATCAGGCAGTTAAGTATCAATGTCAACACTGATGTTGCTGTCTCTGGTGACGATAATGTTGTACCAGGGTGCCAAAACAGCTCCGGTCAGTATGCTATTATCGGGTAAGATATTGGGTTGTTTTTGAAGAGCAGAATGGCGGTTGAAGTGTGCTATTCTACAGACGTTCTATTTTCGTCCCAGACACGTAGTAGGGATATCAGGCTGTTCAGTAGGCTTCCGTCATCATGGAAAAATGCACGTTGCAAACCATTCAGGCCGGTTGCCTTGTCACGCCAGACTTGGAGTTGGCTCGTTGAGTTCATCCAGAGAGTTTGGAAGCATGATCACTTATTCAAAGCATTTGATGAATCGCTCAAGTAAATGTAAATGGATTGCTGTTACATCTTCCCTATTCTTCTCTAGGCCGGTTGATCGCATCGGCTCAAGCAGAGACGTTTTTCCCTATTGCTCAAGCCTTCTCTGTTTTCTGCAGCAATCCACCAGCCTTATCGTTTTTAACGTCAGTTATCCGGCGTCGCGGAAAACTACGTACGTTATCTTAGTGTTGCAGATTTTCTGACATCAAAAAGATCCTCTTACCCCGCTTAAATCCAGTGTTCATTTTTTCGAGTTGGATGGCTCAGGCAGACAGATGGGGTAGCCCCTCTCAGTCTCCTCCATTCACCCTCCGTCCAATTTTTTCATCAACGTGACTGCATTTCACGTGGCGGTCCATCCAGTTCACCTCGACAATGTTGGGCCACTGCAACCCGCTGTGTTATTGTATGGGTGCGAGACATGGCCTCTGCGGGTAGAGGATGAGGCGTCTTCAGGTTTTCGACCGCCGATGCCTCGGGAGCGTGGCTGGTTGCGGTTGGCGTCAGCGTGTTAGTAACCAGATGATTAGAAAACGGGTATTTGGTTGTGCTGCAGGCACCTCAATCCGGGAAAACATCCAGCGTTATCGACTACGCTGGCTTGGTCATGTGCTACGCATGCCGAAACACCGTCTATCGAGACGAGTGTTGTTCTCCGTGCCTCCTTCAGGATGGCGAAAACCGCGAGGTGGACAGCACATGACTTGGCAGAAAAGTGTGAAAGAGATCACGAAGAGTTTGGGTGTTGGTGTTGTACGCCTCACAGGATGGGGTCCCCGTGACCCCGTATGTGCTTGGCTGGAGACGTTGCAAGAAATGGCTAACCGATGTCAGTGGCATTCGTGTCGCGTAACCGTGACTGAGGTCAGGTTGCATGCCCCATAAGGAACAACACTAATGGAAGCTCCGTCGGTAAATTACGTCATGATCCAACTAGGTCCATGACTGGCTTTTGGTTTGAATCGTGATCACTCGCGCTGAATTCTGTCTGGTGGAGAACGGATAGTGGTCAGCACAGTTTGAGAATTCAGTGAGGGTCGACATCGAATTGAGCACCCATCTGTGGTTCTTCCAGGATTGTTCGTCCAACTTGCTCGTTCATACCACTCGCCAGGATGGCAGTATCCGTGTTTCTTGCTGACCGTATGCTGGCGACGAACAAATACCGTTTATCGCATCAACCTGTGTTGATCCCATTTTGACCTAACAACTTCAGAGCAGAGACCCCTTTCTACTGGAATACAATGCATCAAGTCGCTCCCCGCATAGATTTGCCGTATCAGCACACGCTACGACAGACCACAGTTTTGAATCTAAGTATCAAAAATTGTCGCGACTACTTCGGTCAGTAAGAAAATCATATAGTAATCCCTGCGGGTGACGTGAACGCTAAAGTTGTATGAATAAATTCAGTGGCTCATTTAGAGGGGTCGCTCAGTGCATGGGTGATGTGGAGTGACTTCTGTTGAGTGCTGGTCTGTTACCGGTTAGTACAAACTTCCGGCACTAATGCATCATCGTGAGTTACTTGGAGTTCACCAGCCGCGGAACAGTCTTGGTTCCAGTTGGACCATGTGGCTACTAGTCACCGATGTAGGGCCTCAGGTTTAGGCTGCCGTTTCTCCTGGGGGCACGCAAATTGACTCCGATCACGCCACTGTGCGGACTCGGTGGTCACTTCAGTTTCCGTCAGCATTACGCGTGCCGAGGCAGAGCAACGGATTTTAGCAGCTTCGACCAGTTTTAGTAGCACGAGTGTCGAGCTGATGATGCTAAAAGCTACTATAACCACATTCATGCGGATGACGAGGATCGCTTAAAGAATGCGTGGAAGCAAGATAAAAGGGGCTATATTTCCAGATTTGAGAGTGGTCTGTTCAAGCCGTCCGATTCGACTAAATGAACACCGGATATCGTCGAGTTCAGCAGATCTTATTTATACCAGAAAAGTGACACCAGCGACTGTGGTGCTGCGCGCAGATCCTTCAAACATCAGATGATCAGGAGATTGAAGAGAATGTTGGTGGATTGCGAAAGCCCAGGAAATTGAGAAGGCTTTCGCTGCAGGCAACAGCCGCTCTTTATTTCGGCTGATTAGATTAACCGGTCAAAAATGACAAGTGTCAGAGAAACTATGGCAATTCTTTCACAAAATCGTCGTCCCGAGCGATGGGCTGGACACTTCAAGAGATAGATCAGCTAGTCTCCTTCAAAATGAGCTGTGGAAGGGCCCAGTGTGCCTGAATAGAACATCGGCACCACCCCACCGCCCATAACAAATCCAGAGTAAGATTTCGCGATAGAGCACCTGACCCGCACTCTTCAAAGAACACTGTGAGGTCCTAATGAACAGTATGATAACCATACTGCAGCAGATTTGGGACGAAAACAGTACCAGTAGAAAGGAGCTCCCCGACGGTCATCCCATTCCTCAAGAAGGGTGCAAGAACTATCATGGGATCAATCTGGTATCCGTCGCATTCACAGTGTCATTTGACGTTATTTTGTGCAAGTTGACTGATTATCAGGGAAAAAACTCAAATTATACCGCTGCCTTGCGGTCAGGCCTTTGAGCCAAAGACTGGTTGAGGACCCTAATCGTCCTGTCTAGGTGTGGGCGTCCTGGCACTATCCCACCCTACGTACAACTATGAACTGCACATATACATAAATTCATGCCACATCGACCGTCGCGTGGTGCCACCAGCTGAGTCGCCCCAGTCGCTGCACACAACAGAACTGGTAAGCGGAAGCAAGCTACTGCTGACGCTTCCCTTCCTTCTCTTTCACATACTATCTCCCCACCCCATTAATAACCTTATCTTTGCAGGCCCAACACTTGTGACAGGTGACTCCGTTCGTTATGCAACGGTTGGGAAAACTAGGAAATGGAAGAGGCCCAGAAATCCGGTAATGCCCGGTAGTTATTTCAGTTAATCCTTGCGATCGGGTCTCGAAAACCTGTTAGCGAAACTGTTAAGGACCAGAAGGGAGTGCGCATCTTGAATGAAGAGCGCTTCGACCGGTGGGCCGATTATTTCGAACAACAGTTATCATGGCCACCAGCTGCCACTCATCTGGAGCCCACAGTTAACGTAGAACCCTGGACAGTGAACATGGAATCCCCTACACCCTCGGAGGTTTATGACTGCATGTTCTCTCAAGCGCCACTGAGCTTCTGGTCCGGATGACCTCCCACACGAATTTTTCAAAGACGGGGGTGAACTCCTGAGCGCTTGTCTGTTCTGCTTGCCTGCTTTTTGGAAAAGTATACAGTTCCAGACAACTGAGGAGGGGGAGTCAGTGATAGTGTCTATTTTCATAAAGAGATTCTTAGTGAGTGTGGTAACCATACGGGGATCAGGTTGACCCCGGTTGTAACGAGACTGCTGGCGTCACTTGGGCTTCGTTGCCTTATGGTGGCTCGTGAAGCACCAACTCGAGAGCAGCAAGCGGGGTTCTGGCCTGGAAGGAGTTCCGTTGACCAAATCCTCACACTCCGTCAGGTGGTGGAACAACTCCATACGTTCAAACGACCCACAATTTTTGTATTTCTAAATTTCCAAGGCGCATTCGACTCGGTTGACCGGTCTGTTCTCCTGGACACACTCGCCATCAAGGAATGTCTTGGAAGTTTGTGAACATAATACGTTTTTTGTATTCTCAGCCTTCCGGACGTGTGAGGGTATACGGAGAGCTCTCCAAAAGCTTCTGTACACTGAATGATGTTCGTCAGTGATGTCTGTTCTCTCCATTCCTGTTCAATTTCTTGATGCAGATGATATCGTTCTCCTCTTCTAAGAGAAAAAGGCGCGGGTGTCTTTGGATGAACTGACCAAAGTCATCCCGTCCTTTGGTATGCACTTTGCACCCATAAAGTGTAAGGTCATGCGCGTGGACGTGCAGTCACTGAACACGCCAATTACAATCCAAGGGGAGGCACTCGAAGTTGTGGAGCGTTTTTTGCACCTTGTAAGTCGTATTAGCTCTGATTGTGGTGTAACAGCTGCAAAGCTCGGGTCGGCCTTGCTAATTTGAGACACCTATGGCGTCAAAGCGGTGTATCCCCGAATCTCAAAGGATGTGTGTATCAGGCTACAGTCCGGTTTGTTTTGTTGTACGGTTATGAGACTTGGATGGTTGGAGCAGTGGAACTGAGACGTCTTCAGGTGTTCGACAATCGTTGTCTCAGGACCACAGGTCGTGTGGGTTGGTGTCGGGGAATCTATAACTATGCAATTAGCAAGTGATTTTCCGTCTATACAACGGGGACTTCCGTTGAAGGGTTTGTCCAGCAACAGAAGCCGCGTTGGTTAGGCCATGTATTGCATATGCCGAACCATCGTTTGCCGTAGAGGATACTATTTTCCTTGCC